GTACCCGGGTACCTCTGTACATTTTATGCAGATAAATGTAGAAATTTCTTTTAAAAAAATATGAAAAATTACATTAAACAATTTTTATAAATTTTTATAGTAATGCACATAATTTGTTTTATAAAATATGTAATTTAGTTACTATAGTTAAATAATAATATTCATAAAAAATCGTCAGTTTTTAACAAATATTATATATACGGATACTATTCAATGAAAGATCAATGTTATTGTGAATATATACAAAATACTTAGGTAATATGTAATGGACAGTTTTCTAATAATCAACTAAAAATGATAATTTTTTATTAGCAAAAAAAAATCTTATTTAAAGATGAGTCTTAAAATCAGTGCTAGTAGTTGTAATAGAAATTGCATTGCGTAAATTTAGCAAAGTTGCCTTAAAAATGTTGCATCTTAAGGGGGGCGCACACTTTATAGAAAGTCAAAAAGTGTGTAAATTTCAGGAATTTTTTTCTCAAACGCATTGAAATAAATTGATACGAGTTTTTGTGGATGTTTTCTTATATATTTAAACCTTCGAAATATAATTTTTTTATTGAAAAAAAATAAAATTTAATAATAAAATAAACGTCATATACTCGCTGCTGAAATTTTCTCATTGCGTTCAATCTAGGGTCCACAATTCTTATCAAAAACAAAAAAACAAAATTTTTGCTTCAATCGTACATTAGTGCCTTCTGTATGAATAAATTTTTTTTTTAGTCGAATTTAACGTTTTGGTTTAAGAAAAAGTTAAGTTTTTTTTTGACGAAAATTAAAATTTTTTTTTAAAGTCATGTAAAATTTTTAATGTTCACATTCTATCGAAATCTTTTAATTCATATTATAAAAGATAATAGTGTACGATCGAAAAAAAATTTTTGTTTTTGATAAGAATTGTGGACCCTAGATTGGGAAAATGCAATTAAAAAATTTCAGCAGCAAGGAGTTATATATATATATATATATATATATATATATATATATATATGACATTTTTTTTAATATTAAATTATATTTTTTTAATGAAAAAATTTTTACTTTTACATACCTTTTACATAAAGGTTAATTTTAAAAAATTTTAAATAGAAAAATTTAAGGTGATATATAATAAAATCGTCTTCCTTACGTCAAGACGAATCGATTGGTATATAAATAAAGTATAGATTTGATTTAAATTTTAAGAATTAATGGAAATTGAAAAATCAAGAATTCATATTTTAGCTAAAAATTTTGTGTTTATTTAAATTTAAGTTAATACATAAAATAATTGTATTCCTTGCATTGAAACGAATCGATTCGTAACATTTAGAGTATATGTTTTGTATACTATTGTATATCATTTTGTTTTCTTTACTAACTTATTAAAATGTTATACGCGGGACCTGATCCGACTGTTTAAATCTGAAATTCATAAAAATATAGATCCGATAGATACATGCTTCTTAGCTGATTCATCACTGAATCATGACATTAAATGATACTTACAAAAAGTTTTAAAGTCCCAACAAAAACATCTTTGATGCAAAAAGATACGCGAAGCAAAAATTATCTTAACCATCGAAATAATACGTGAAATGAATGTTAGTCAAGTAAATTTCAGGATTCTGTTAAGTTTTAATTAATGTTTTAATATAACTAATTACATTTAAAAATGGGAAATTATACAAATTATAATTTTAAAATATGTGTGCTACGTAGAAAAAAAGAATAGTTCTGATCTAAATATGAAGTAGAGTTAATAATTATCAAAATAATTAATTGAAATCAATTTTTTGGTTAAGAAAAATTTCTATCGTACGCGCAGTTATGAAAACTTGGCGTGAATTATTTTTAAGTATTTAATAATAATATTTATTATCAAACGCGACTCAATTTAAAAAAGGGAAAATTATTCGTTCTTTTTATCGATTTTAAAAGTGCCTTTCCTTCAATCAATCACAGATTATTGTGGGATAAATTGTATAAATTGGGCACTGGTTCTAAGTTTTTAAATATTTTAATAAATTTGTATAATAAAGCCAATATGTTTGTGAAGGGTAGAAGGAGCACTACAAATCCTATAGAAGTTACGAAGGGAGTTTTACAAGGAGAAGTTTTAAGCCCGATTCTGTTTACTTTGTTCATTAGCGATCTCGAGGAATTCATGATTAAAGAAGGAATAAGAGGGGTATCGATCAATCACTTAGTTGAAATACTTTTGTTGGCATATGCAGATGATTTAGTCATCTTTGCAGAGAATCAAGTGCATATGAGAAGAATATTAAAATGTTTATATAAATATTGTCAATTAAATAATTTAGAGGTGAATATTAAAAAAACAAAGATTGTAATTTTTAGGAAGGGAGGATACGGTCATAATAATAAATACAATCCTTTTATGTATGGAAGTGATGAAATAGAAATTGTTAATAATTGTTTGTACCTAGGAATCCCATTTTCTGAATCGGCGGTTTTTGTTGGAGCAATGAACAATGCATATAGTAAAGCTAATATTGCACAGGGTAATGTGGTGGCGCTAATAAATAGATTGAAATTGAGTGATTGGGGATCGATTAAAAAACTCTTTAAAAGCTTGAACACGAGTGTTTTGTTATATGCATCGGAGGTGTGGAGTCTTCGATATTTAGAAGAAATAGAAAGAATTCAAACAAATTTTTTTGAAAAAATCTTGAAGGCTCCACTCAACACTCCTGCGTATGCATGTCGTTTGGAAATGGGATCTTATAAATTGGCCTCTGTTGTATTCAAAAGAATTTTAAATTATATAGAGAAAATTTTAAATATGGAGGAGGATAGATACCCAAAAATATATTTTTTTAAATTAAAAATTTTAGCGGAAAGTAATCCTTCGAGCAAATGGTGGAACTCAAAACTATTTATTATTGAATATTCCCATGAATCAAAAAAGAGTGGTATCACAATTAAGATTAATAAATAGATATCAAACTAGAGTTTTAGTAAATGGGAAAGTTTTTAAATTTGATGAAGTCACAATTTCAAGTCGAAGCCATTAATTGGCCGTTTGATGGAAATTTTTTTCCATAATATTGAAACTTACTGACAAGGAAGGTACTCGAGGCGTGTATCGCCGATTTGCTTAAACTTGATATATGTTGAGACGGAATAATTTGTTATTAAGAGAAAATATAATAAAATAAGAATAAATGATCAAAGTTAGAATGATAAAATTATTCCTCACCCAGCGCGACCGGGTTCAGAGTTGCTGGGGCTCTATTTAACGATATAAAATAAAATAATAATTTTAGTTGCACGCGGACGACAGTTAATTTATTAATTAAAATTAACAAACGACTTAGATCACAGGGAGGGAAGTTGGTGAACCCAAATACAAAATATAAAAATAAAATATTAAGCGACTTCCAGGAATATAAAATTTATTATAAAAGATCAAATAAAATATACATTAATCACTTACTTGAAGATCAATAATGATCAAATATCGACTCTTTTCCTTAATTTCTTTCAATAATACAATAATAATTATGGATAATGTCGATCTCAAGGTTCCATATAATTTTAATATTTAATTGATCCAATAAGGCAATATAATCAGATATACAGTTCACACAAGGAGATATACTCCCAACACACAATAAGACGTACGGACAAAGAGAGAGGAACGGACCCGACGATTTTCGGCAATGCGCCAATATATTGAACTATTGGCGCTTAGATCGATGTAAGGTCACAGGGGCGAGTTATTGACCTTTTTTCCCTAACCCTTATCCTAGATATTTGATCATTTATTTCTCAAAATAATGCCAAGAAATATTTTCCCATCACAATGTTGTAGATGACTAAAAACTAATAGACACGTATTTTTTTTATATGTGCCCATAAGGCGATATAAGAAGTGAAACAACCTCTTGAAGATTTTTCTAGTTAATATAGAGGGGCATATTTTTTTGAAATAAAATTGGTTCAGGGGGTAAACCACCCCCTAAAAAATTTAAAAATTGACATTAAACCATACAAATATTCATTAATTCGCACGAAAAAATATATGTTAACCACAAGATCAAAATAAAACATGTCTTCGAGTTTTTAATAAAAAAATGTTAAGGGGGTAAACTACCACTAAAATACATTTTTCTTTTTTAGGGTTCCGTACTCGGTTCGGAACCCTATTAATATCGGTTTTTTTGAAATCGTGTACCCCCCTCTAGCGGCCACACGAATTTATCTAGAGGGCTGAAATTTGGCACACATATGTATTTTTACGTGTAGATTACAAAAAAATATAGCGAGCATGATTGGAGTTGATTATCATAGCGTTGTCAAGGAAAAACCATGAATTTTTACGAAAAATACCTAAAAATGACTATGTACCCCCCCCCCTAGCAGCCACATCTTTTGACATAAAGAGCTCAAATTTGGTACACTTGCGTATTTTTACGTGAAAATTACAGGAAAAATATAAGGAACTTGATTCGGATCAATTTACATAGCGTTGTCAAGGAAAAATCAAAAATTTCGAAAAAAATAATTTATTCTCCCTAGCGCACATAATATTTAACCCTAACTGTTCATATTTGCTGCAAAACTGTATTTTTGCGTGAAAAATACAGGGAAAAAATGTAAGCGCGATTGGAGTTGATGATCAATTTTTATCAAATTTTTGAAGAAAAATGATAAATTTAATAAAAATTGTATTTTTCCGTAAAAAACGAAAAAAATCGCAGGGTGAAATCGAGGGTTCCGTACTCGAAGCGAACTTATTTGGTATAAAAACAAATGTTTAAAAAATGTGTTGTATGTTAAATAATATATGTGATACAAAAAGAAACAATTTAAAACAAAAAATTTAAGAAAATTGTTCAAAAAGGAACAATTTTGTAAAATTTAAGAAAATTGTTCAAAAAGGAACAATTTTGTAAAATTTAAGAAAATTGTTCCTCTTCGTATCACTTATATTATTTGAAATACAACACATATTTAAATTTTTTTTGTTTTTATACCAAAGGAGGAACAATTTTCTTAAATTTTTTTTTAAAAATTATTTCTTTTTGTAGGGTAACACGGGGCGGGACGGGCATAGTTATTTTTTTTGCGATATAGCATGAAATGTGTTATAGATTACGCAAAAGTTTTATGCGATTTATATTCGGAAACTAATATTCTTTTTAAATTCCGTTAAATTTGTGCCTTTAAATTAAATTACAAATTAATACAAATAAATATATCAAAGAGGAGCCTTTGACCCGTTGAGCCCCAAGCCAAGGGCGGGACGGGTCGCATGCAGGGGCGCGACGGGTCAATACGCAATAAACTCGTTTTTTTTATTAATAAATGACGTTTTTATGTTAATTACATAATTATTTAATGTAAGAAGGCTTTTTGAATATTTAATAGTAAAAAAATGGACATTTGTAGGTATTCTTTCAAAATTTTATTGAAAAATTCGCGACTATGAAACGTGTTATGAAAGATACAAGATTTACATAAAATTAATAATCTTTTTTGAATAAACATTACATTAAATCAACATTTTTATATAAATTAATAATCTTTTTTAAATAAACATTACATTAAATCAACATTTTTATATTACCTTTTACAAGATTATTAATTTAAAACAGGTCGAACTGTTAACTGAGATGATACTGCTGATGTAGCGGTTTGCACTAGATTTTAATTTTGAACAGGTCGAATTGTTAAAGAGGATATTATATTTGGTTTAACGCGTTGTGCTTCTTTTGGGCTGTATACTGGTCGAATTGTAAGTGAAGAAGAGGGTACAATTGATTGAACCCTTGGAGTAAACATTCGTGTTACTGGCTGAACTTGTAGTGGCAATGAAGGTCTGGTCGAAATATTTGGATTTCTTTGATTTAGTGCATTTGACAATATTGGCACTTTTTGTGGAAAAAGCGTACATGCAGGCGTATTTGACATCGAATTTTCATTAATTTGAAATTCAGGACGTGATTGAAAGGGCATTGGCAACATACACTGAACAAATTGCACTGGAACTTGCACATTTACTGTATTTTTGGCTAAAGCGACTGGTTGACTAGCATTCTCATTTTTCTTTGGTTTCTTAGGTTGCTTCTTAGCTTTACTTAATAAAAGAGTTTCTTTATACTCTGGTGAACTTATTATAGTAGTATATCCAGTTCTTTTTGACTTAGGCTTAGCACTTTTCGGATTTGCTGGAATATTTTGATCCACGCTACTTAGAACTCTGATTGGTACTGAATTAATGCTATCAGCGTTCGTGACAGGTAAACTCAATTCAATTGAATTCTGAGAGTCCGATAAAATATTCTGCAAAATATAAAAACATATAATTGTCTTTTAAAAACTTTATTAAAATTTTCTTCACTACTTCCAAAATGAGATCTGAGCTACTAGTTTGAAACGATTCCAACTCATCTTGTGCGAGGCGTACGTTTTGAGACTCATGAACAAGACTGTTACTCTCGTAGGTATCGGCATTTAAGATTTCTCTAGTTTGGTTTTGTGTTTTATCTGGAGTTATTCTAACATCGATTTCGTGATGAGATTGTTGAATTAATTTTCGAAATGATCTGCTGTCTTCTAAAATCATAAGAATATAATTAAAATTACACTGGAATTATAATAAAAAAGATTTTTCTACTTGAAACTTTATAGATGAGAAAATAAGTTTTTTTATATTTCTTACCATCAGGAACATTGATGAATGAACTGCCACTACTTTCAACATCTGTCGTGTCAACTTGAGAAGGTGCAAAATCTGCATCAGTGAATAGATTCCTGTTGAAAGGCCAAATGCCGGTTTTTTCGAAACCATTTTTGGCAGTACCTAATGTTGCAGCTGCTTCAAATGCTTTTCCAAATATTGAAAAAATTTCAAACATCGATACTACTCGGTTTGGATGGATTCTAAGCCATTTTTGCACTTCTTTAGCATAATTAAGACTTAGTGGTTTCATAAAAGAAACATCTAGAGGTTGGAGACGGTGAGTACAATGAGGAGGCAAGCATAAAATTATTACACCATTTTCCTGCGCTAAATCAATGACATTTAGGTTTTTGACATGAGACGCATGCCCATCCAAAATGAGCAAGACTGGGGATTTTTCGGTGCATTTAGTAAATTTTATAAATTCCTTAAACCATCTGGTAAAGATGCCAGAATCGATCCAACCATTATCATTAAACTCCGCCCAAGCACCTTCTGGTTTCCCATTTAAACACTTTTGTTTATCTCGTTTTCGAGGAAAAATTAACATTGGAGGCATGTATTGTCCGTCAGCCGAAAAACACACTTCTGCAGTGACTAATTGGCCTCGTTTAGCAGATTTTCGAGAAGCGACCTGATGTTTTCCTTTTAAAGCCACTATTTTGGACACGCATTTTGGTACAACACTTGTTCCAAATTCATCAACATTGAACATTCTTTTTGCCGTTAATTTGTGTTTTAAAATAATTTCTTCGAGAAGATCATAGAATTTCGTTACATCGGCTTTATTAAACCCTGAAGCTCGTGCAGCTGACGTTGGTTCAGGTTTACGCAAGGATAACTTAGGGTGTCGTTTCATAAAATTCTGAAACCAATCTGGTCCTGCGATTTCTTTGTCAGAATTAAATGGGTGCTTTATTTTGGATTTGACTGACAACTGAAACGCCAGTTTACGAATTTCCTCCGCAGTTAATCCATACATCCTTTCTTCCATGTATAAAATATAATCACATAAATCAGATTCTTGCTTTTCATTGAAAACTATTGAATATCCTAATCCTATAAAAAAAAAGAATTAAAAGCCATAAAACAAGAATAATTAAATTTGTAAATTATGTATAATTTTAAAATTTAACTTAACACGAATCGTTTCAGCGCAAGCTTTACATACGAAAACTGACAAAACATATAATAATGATTAATATATACCTTAATTACCTTTTTTACAGACACTATTAATATTCACTTCTTTTTCACGGCATTTTATAATTCTTTTTCTTAAACTTTCTCGAGGGACAGTGTATTTCTCAGCTGCTTGTCGACAACTAAAATTTTCCTTTAATACTGCTTCGACAGCAGAAATCATATTTTCCTCTGTCCAACTTTGTCGATTAGACTTAGATTTAAAATTTCGCACCATAATTATATTAATATCACAGTGTGTTACATTAATTACATACTAATTTAAGTTCTAAACACTTAACCTACGCTACAGGTAACTCACATGTTTACATGTACATAACCTCAAACTCAACGACATGCCCTCGACCCATCGGGCCCCAGTTTCGTGACCTGTACCGCCCCATATTGCATTTCACAAAGAAAGTGAAAATTTAAACATTTACGTTAAGAATTTAATACAAATATATTAAAAAATTAAAGTAGAGTAAATAACACAGGCACACAAAAAAAAAGTTGTCTGTTTCTTGAACTAGACATATATTTCCTATAGTATTTTGGACCGCTGAAACCGAATCTGAGCTCAGAATTGCTCCATCACCCTCAGTTTTTTTTTAAATCGACCAAAACCACCCTTAAACGGACAAATTCACACTTCGGAGATAAAAAAAAATCAACTAATTTTTTAAAAAAACCGAATTTTACATCTACGAAACTTTGCTCCACTAACTCAAAAACAAAGCCAGCATTGATCCAGCACCCCCTAAATTTTTTTAATTGAAAAAACTACCCCTAATCTAAAGAATCAAATTCAGGAGATAAAACAATAAAATATCTGATTGACAAATTTTATAACCAGAAATTTTTACTCCAGCAATGCAGAAACAAAGCCAGAAATGCTCCCTCACCCCCTAAATTTTTTTTAAATCGAAATACCACCCTTAAATAGTAAAATTCAAATTTAAGAAGTAAAAAAATATTATATTACCGGCTTTTTTTAAATACAGAATCTTACATGTATGTAGTTTTGCTCTACTAACTCAAAAAATAAAGCCAGCATTGATCCATTACCCTCTGAATTTTTTTAAATGGAAAAAACTACCCCTAAAATCTGAAGAATCAAATTCAGGAGGTAAAACAATAAAATAACTGATTAAAAAATTTTATAATTAGGTATTTTTACTCGAGCAAGGCAGAAACAAAGCCAGAAATACTCAAAAAAAGCCAGCATTGATGCATCACACTCTGAATTTTTTTAATAAAAAAAACTACCCTTAATCTGAAGAATCAAACTGAGGAGGTAAAACAATAAAATAACTGATTAAAAAAGTTTATAACCAGGAATTTTTACTCCAGCAATGAGCATTTCTGGCTTTGTTTCCGCATTGGTGGAGTAAAAATACCTGGTTATAAACTTTTTTAATCAGTTATTTTATTGTTTTACCTCCTGAATTTGATTCTTCAGATTAGGGGTAGTTTTTTCCATTTAAAAAAATTCAGAGGGTGATGGATCAATGCTGGCTTTATTTTTTGAGTTAGTAGAGCAAAACTACATACATGTAAGGTTCTGTATTTAAAAAAAGCCGGTAATATAATATTTTTTTACTTCTTAAATTTGAATTTTACTATTTAAGGGTGGTTTTTCGATTTAAAAAAAATTTAGAGGGTGAGGGAGTATTTCTGGCTTTGTTTCTGCCTTGCTGGAGTAAAAATTTCTGGTTATAAAATTTGTCAATCAGTTATTTTATTGTTTTATCTCCTGAATTTTATTCTTCAGATTAGGGGTAGTTTTTTCAATTAAAAAAATTCAGGGGGTGCTGGATCAATGCTGGCTTTGTTTTTCAGTTAGTGGAGCAAAGTTTCGTAGATGTAAAATTCGGTTTTCTTAAAATATAAGTTGATTTATTTTTTATCTCCGAAGTGTGAATTTGTCCGTTTAAGGGTGGTTTTGGTCGATTTAAAAAAAAACTGAGGGTGATGGAGCAATTCTGAGCTCAGATTCGGTTTCAGCGGCCCAAAATACTATAGGAAATATATGTCTAGTTCAAGAAACAGACAACTTTTTTTTTTGTGTGCCTGTGTAATTTAATTCTATGACCAAACGAATCTAATTTTGAATATTTCTTTACGTAATTACTTATCTCTTTCAAAAGTCCTAAATTAACTAAACTACTACTACTAAAATTGAATACTCGTCTATTTTGCATTCGTCGTGTAAAAAAAATAATTTTTGGAAGAAGGTTTTCAGAAGCGTTTCTTTATTCATAATTAAAATTTCTTTCAATAAAAAGAAGTATATTTTCAAAGAAAATCCCGTGACACGTTCGACCCCGTAGACCCGTCCCGCCCCGTGTTACCCTATCACATATATTATTTAACATACAACACATTTTTTAAACATTTATTTTTATACCAAATAAGTTCGCTTCGAGTACGGAACTTTCGATTTCAGTGCGAGTGTAACTCGCACTTGTCCGATTTTTTATACTTTAACAAAGGTACTCTATTGGTAAAATCTTTTTATTAATTGGTGCTAAAAAAATATACAACACAATTTTTTAAAACAGACCGCAATCAACTTTCTCACTGGAAGTTTGTTGCTGCTGAAAATTTGTCGAATTTCCCCGTATTGAGAAAATTGCACTTCACGAATTTCGCAATGTTTCAATAAAAAATTAATAACTTTTTTATTTTTAATCAAAACAACTTTTTTCTTTTTTAGTCACTCGTAGGGTATAACAACACGTATTTTCGTTTTTGTTTCATTGAGAAATTCGTAAAATTGTCTGAGGTGTCGCGAGTTGAAGTCAAAAAAACAATGAAAATTTTATTTTTTTAAAAAACAGTTTTCCTCTTATATTTTGAAAACGGAAAAAGATGGAAAACTTCTTATTAAGAAAAAAAGATGCGCAATCGAATTCTGTATAAGAATATGCTGGAAAAATATTAAAATTCGAAAAATGAATTTTGAGTGTCTAGAGGTCTTCGTTTTCCAGCAGATAAAATTTACGTGCCCTTCTAGAATCTAGCGGCTCAATTGTTTAAAAAATTATTTTAAAAAGTTGTAAATTCAGATGTTCATTACATGAACATTTTGCTTCCTCTTTACGATCAGCAAAAAAATTTGCTTTCTCGTGGAGAAAGCAAAATTTTATTGCCAAAATGTCAATTTTTGATTTTTTAACTTTTATTAATTCTTTAAATTTACTTCAAATGTATACTTTATATATATCGATCGATTCGTCTTGACGTAAGGGATACAATTATTTCATATATAAACTTCAATTTAAAAAATCACAAAATTTTATAGCCTAAATGTGAAATTTTGATTTTTTTACTTTCATTAATTCTTTAAATTTACCTTAAATGTATACTTTATATATATCGATCGATTCGTCTTGACGTAAGGAAAACGATTTTATTATATATAACCTTAAATTTTTCTATTTAAAAATTTTTTCGATTAAAAAAAAATTTTTGGAAAAAAGACGATAAAATTTTTTTTTTTGGATATTTTTCAAAATCCTTTGGTCAGATTTGAGATATTAATATGATAAATGAGCCTACCAAATTTTATCTAAATCCATTAAAACCTGTTAAAGTTATCTTCTAAACAAAAAAGGGATCCACACACACACACACATACACACACACATACATACATCCGGACAATTGATCAGGATCTCATATAACATGTTTCTATAAAGAAAAAAATTTGTTTCCGCCACTTTGAAAAGTTTTATAAATGAAAGGACTACAAAGCTTCCTCCACGAGGAAGCAAAAATTGTAAATACTTAAGGAGAAACTAAACATAATTCTTTACAACTGAGAAAAAATTATTTTAGGGTTAACCATCCTTATTGCAAAACTGACATCTACAAAAGAAATGGCAAAATTAAAATTATTTTTTAAATAAAAATCGAAATAATGTTTAACAGTTATATGTGATTAAATAGTAAAATTAAATTAACAGCTGTTATAATTCAGGCAATATTTCTATATACAGGAATTGTTATTTTTAAAATAAGGGTGAAAAACTATCAAACGTGTTAATGGAAAACCCGTCATTATTTTTTATTTTATATGTTGTGTTTGATAGTGTACGCACTATAAGTATATATTCCGATGTCATACTCCGATATTTATAAATATGTATCAGTGCGATATTTTTCCTGAACTCTAAATTTTTGTTTAACCATTACTCACAACTTCACAAGAAAAACAAATGGTGTTAAAATGACATGCAACAAATTTTACATCAGTTTTTTCTCTGATCTTTGAACTTTGTATAAACTATTCTTTTTCTTGTTATAACTTTAATTTACAATTTTTAAAAATTATTTGTAGTTATTATGTACCCATATTATTAAAAATTACAATGAATAGTTTTGAAAAATTGTAATTACATTATGACATGAAAATTAAATATTTACAATTTTGGTAACTAATTTTTAAAATTTCTTATCCATTATATATTTTAATTAATAACATTTAATCCACTATTATCATTTTTTATACATGATTCGACATTTCAGTTTGTATATTTCTGAATTCCAAAACTAAAAACTATTACCTAAAAAATTATATATATTCTAACTTCAATATTAATTTCATAATTGTAGAAAATTTAAAAAAAAATTTTTGATTTGTTTTTCTAAAATTTCAAAAGTGGATATAACAATTTTAATTGTTTAAAGAATTCACCTTTTTCATTTCTTTCCTTACCAAGAATCAAAAAAGTTGAACATTTATCAGTTAAAATGTGATTAAACGGTTTCAAAAATTTAGTCTAAAATAGTTTAACGTCAATCTACTAATCAATTAAAAGTTTTTGGATCTGTTGAATGCATTGAAAAGTGTCATTTCTTTTATTTAATTATTATTAAAATCAATAAGTTTTATGCATTTTAAGATGCTTTTTGTTATGTAATTATAAAAATGTAATGTTTTTATTAATTTCAATCTATTACAGTTTATTATCAACATTTGTCAATAAAATCAATACAGCCGCGCTTTTTAGCAGGTAGGTGAAAGCACTCATTTTTTCTTTTCTTTAAATTTTTTTTTATTTTTTTATTAAAAGCAAAACTCTTATTTATTAAACGGAAATATTGGTAAAAAAATATTATTTTATCAAAAAAATTAATAATTTAATAAAAAATATTGGTGAAAAAAATGTATTATTTTGTCAAAAAAATTAATATATTAATTCAAAATATTGGTAAAAAAAGTGAAATTTCTTATCAAAAAAAAAGTTGAAAAAAATCATTTTAAACAGAAGTAATGGGGAAAAAAATGTATTATTTTGTCAAAAATATTGATGAAAATTTATTTTTTTTATCAAAAATATTGGTGAAAAGAATAAAAAATTTTTATTAAGAAAAAGTTGAAAAAAATTAATATTAAACGGAATTATTGGTAAAAAAATGTATAAGAGAGATTCTTTTTCAATCGCCCCAGCCCAAAAAGTCAATGTTCTGGGATTGGCTTCATACTTTGGTAAATTG